CATCCGGTCAAAATAGTTTTAAAAAAAATTCTCTTTCTTAAAATACTAATTAATATTTTAGTAAATAAATTTTTTCTTTTAAAAATAAAATAATAACACCTATTATTTAAGAGTTAAATAAATATTTTTTAAAATTAAAATAAATTTTCACAATTAATTTAAGATAATTGTTATTTAAACAGATATTGTAGGATACTAATATCTTTTTTACACGTAAATGACTTTTGAATTAATTTTTTGTTTCAAAAATTAAAATATTTTTAAAAAAATTTCAAAATTTTTTTAATAAACTTTTGTAACAATTTTTCTAATTTTTAGAAAACATTTTTATTTTCTAAAAATGTCTTTATGTTTCGCGTCTAGCTGCTACACTTACTATATATTATATGGTCCTTCGTATTAGTAAAAGTATTTTAATTGTATCTATAATTAAACATATTCCTTGAGTAGGCACTAAGCATGTAATTTTTTTTTTTGTTCTTAACAATTATGGTTTTTAGTAAACATGTTTCTTGAGAATGTTAATATATTTGATATGACTTGAAAAAAATATTGAGAATGTCATACAATATCTTAGGTAAATGTTTTGGGTAACGTATTTGGTTTAAATATTATTTCTTATAAATATTAACACTTATTTTAAAGATATTCTATTCTTTTAATATCTCTTTACTTGTATAATAATTTATGTATTTTATTTATATTATTAACTAAATTTATACTTATTTAAAAATTTTAAAAAATTGAAATTAAAGTTTAAAATAAAAGATAATAATATAAAGCGGTAATTGTTATGAAATTTCAATTACAATGACTTCAAATAATCTTTTATTATAATAACGAGTTAGTAATACATGTTTATGAAAAGGCAATGATAAGATGGATCTTTAAAAATATAGATTAAATTTAAGTTTAAAAATAGTGAAGAGTATAATTGTATTTTTATATTATAAAAAACTTTTACCTTAATGGCAATCTTAAATTCTCACTCCTTATGAAAATGATTTCTTGAAAAAATTAATTAAAAATAATTTTGAAAATGTTAGTTTTTTGAAAAAAAATAATTAAAATAGTTATACTAAATATGAAAATTTATCATTACTAACTTAAGATTTTAAAACTTAAGTAAATTCTTTTACCAAATCTTTATTAAAGAAATCACTTTTAATTATCTGTTCGTGTTCTCAGTATATATAATATCAAGATCCTCCAATTATCATGTCAACATATCACTTTTCAAGTTTCTTACAAATTTTTCCACCATTCATACTTATGAGATTCACATATTTTTAAAAGTCTTATTGCATTTGTGATCTTACTTGAATGTTTTCACTTTATAACTATTTATGAGGTAATTCTAGATACAATAAATTTCTCATAGCATGCCTTCTCATAACATTTTGCTATTGCTCTAAATGAGTAATTTTTTATTCACTCAATATCCTTTCTAAGATTAACTATATAGTTTTACATTTACTTTTCAAATAGTTGTAGTGTAAAAAATTTATTGTCAAACTTTAAATAAACACAACCAAATTATATATCTTCATTGAACTTAGAGTATAATTCTTTGGTTGATATATCACCTCTTTATAAAATTAAAACATTTAAGAGTCTTGTAGTTCTCATAATTTCATAATTAGGCTAATATGTGCAACACCTTGTCCCAAAAATTCATTATTGAAGTCAGACTTGCATCCTCCTTCCTTCTCAAATTCAATTACTACAACTAAAGAGTATTCTATAATGACAAAATTGAGGGGCCACCAAAGATCATTTATGGATACAAACATGTATTTTTGCTTTCAATACTTGATTATCATGTTTAAATTATTGATTTCTCTCTTAATAATAAAATGGTGTTATCTTCTATTTCTCATGTTACAATAATTTATTAGATAATGTGTCAACATATACTTTATGTACCAAGTATGCAATTTTATTAATAAATGTTGTAAGGTAGCTCATTGCAAGAATTAACATAAAAAATATTTGAACAAGTCAAAAATTAAATTAAAATATTGCTTAAGTTAAATATTATAATAACAAAATATTGGGGAACCACGTTGAAATATTAATAATTTAAAAATATTTTCATTATGAGAAATATTATAATTTTTATGATTATTATAAATGATTTTTAATATAATTTCCTTTTTTTTACCTTATTTTCTAGTCATCATAAACTATAACTTAATGATTAAATTATGATAATTTACTTTAAAATATAAAAAATATTATTATTATTATTTAAAATATTAATTTGATATCAATTAGGGTATTAAAATTTATGCTATCAAATAAGGCCTCAAGTAAGTTTTACAAAATAAATCATTATATTAAGTTATAAAAAAAAAACTTATTTGCATACACTTTTTAATGTTTGAAAGAATGATAAAGTATTTAGAAGAATAAATTAATATCAAGTATAATTGTTTAAAAATAAAAAGATTAAATTATTTATGAACATACTTGTGTATGTCATATTTTTTATATTTTAGTAAACATGTGTATGTGTGAATGTCATACTTATGTATATCATATTCTTTATATTTTAGTAATATTATAAATATATATACATATATATATATATATATATATATCATGTGTATGTGTGGATTTTTATAAAATAATTTGATTGAAAAAGTAAATTATGTTTACTTCACTCAAATAAAATTAACTAATAGTATGTTCTCTAAATTTATATTGTTTTATAATAAAAAAAATATTTTTAATAATTCTATTTTCATATAAAAAATAAAAGTGATGAATTCTGTAATTTCTAATAAAGAAAACATATTTTTTTACATGAAACTGAAAAATATAATCAGTGAGAATTTTTTATTAAATGTAATTTAAATAATAAACATATATTTATAATATACTTAAAAGTTTATATAAGATATAATAATTTTTTTTATCAAAGTAAACTAGTTATTCATAAAAAATCTAATATTTTATATAAAATAACAACGTAGAACAAAATTAAGAGAAGTAATGTAGTTCATAAATTATTCTTAATCAATTTTAATTTTAAAATATACATAGGATAATTGTGAAAAAGAGTAGTTTCATTTAATATTTTACTTTTTTTGTGTGAATCAATATTTTACTTTTTAAATAATATACTTTTATTTGTAATATAGAAGTTGGTTGATGGTAAATATTATTATCTGTTTTGCATATTTGTATTTATTTATTTATTTTATTATAATTCTAATAATTTTTAGAATATTATATAAATATTTTAAATTTTAGTAAGATTTAAAAAAAATATATAAGGCATGGTTTTATCATCAATGTTGGTATAAGATATTTTGTCTATCAATGAAAAAGAATAAATATTTGACATTAAAAAATAAAAATTTAAAAATAAAAATTTATATTTATAATATAAAAATAAATTATATATATATATATCATACGAAACAAATCCTTGTCCTTAGGTTGGTCCAATATTCTCCTCTCCACGGTTCGGAAGAAGAGAAGACAAAACAAGCTATTCCAATTCCAAAGCAACAACTGTTTGAAATTAGAGAATTGCAAATTTGCAATGCTTTGTTTTAACATCAATTATATATTTTTCATAAATGTTAATTTCTATCAAATTCGCTTATTTTGCACACTAAGGATATGATAATGTTTCGAAGTTGAAACTACAAAAGATAAATAGTGCCTGGTCATGATTAGGTAAAATTCTTCGGCTAATAATATTTCAACACAGCAAGCATTTAGATTACCTTGTATTAAAAAAAAAAAGATATGAAATAATTATATAAATTTTTTTGAAGATAAAAAAAATTGCATATTCTTTTATTTGAGGGAGAAAATCCCTCATACAATATAATAGGTTATGCGTATCGACTGCATATCTTTATTTGATAATTCTTATAAAGTTGTACTTATTTAACATCATCAAAAGACAAAACTCAAATATAACGTTTTAAGAATTAGATTGATTATTAAATCTATAAAAATAATAAAATAATTAAATTTTTAGTATTTTATTTTAAGTAATAAATGAATATAAAAATTAAGACAAATTAAGATTTAAAATAATGCAAAATAATCATTTTATATGTTATAAAAGTTTAGGTATGTAAGTCTTTATAATTTTTCACTAAATTTTTATTTAATTTTTAAAAATAATTTCTCATATTTAAAAAATAAAATAAAATATAATTGTTTAAATATATTGAAAAATTTATTGAAACATGTTGAAGATAATTCATGGTCCAGTGCTATAAGCTTTTTATAAGTTCTTAAAAATGGTTTATTAATATATATTGGTTTATATATATATATATATATATATATATATATATATTTATAATATGTAATAATATGAAGACTTGTATATTATTAATTTTAATTTAAATATTTTATAAATATAATTAGTTTTAAATTAAAAATAAATATAAACTCATTTTTTTATTTAACATTTCCCATTGCTTTATATAAAGGAACAAAATATATAAGATTAATTTTAAACTAATAAATACTATAATTAAAATACATATATAAATTAATTTAAATTATATATTTTTATTAAAACATATACCTTTTATTTAAAAATATAAAAAAATTTCGCTACAAACACAAATGGCATAATTTAATCTTCACTCAATGGGCAAGGCAACGGGCAAGGCAACGGCTTACCCTGGACCACCAATTATTACAGCAGGCGTGCAGCTATGTTCACCCGTGACGACATGCATGAATTTTGAAAAATATAATTTCATATTTAAACATAAAAAAATTATATTTGAGCATATTTTACTTTAATCCGGTTTTTCTTTTTCTATTTTAGTTCTTATAATTTTATTAATTTTTTACTTTAATCTTCTTCCTTATATTTTAGTGGATTGCCTCAATAATAAAGACTAAAAAAAACATAAAAATATCAAAATTAACAATAAAAAAATACTCAAATATAACGATAATAATATATTTAAGCTTATTTTTTAAAACTTTCTATTGAAAAAAAAAAGTGCACTTGATCAGTAATGGAACACATACACGTTATACTCCACAATAGCTTCGGACACATCAATAGAACGAGTCTTTGCCTGAGCATACCCACGTGCGAACCGGAAAATCCCACTGCCACCCACCACCGGCATCTCTCTCACGGCAGATATCACCGTGTTCCGCCCCAACACGGTGAGGCTACTCCCATTAAACTTCCCCTCGGTGAACGCCAAATTCATTACCATCAGAAACCCCAACTCCGTTTGCGAAGCCGAAGCGTACATTCCCTGTGCTCTTCCCACCACCTTCGAACCCGGTTCCGCGCTCTCCGTTAACGGGTCGTCCATCATCACCACCGCGCCGAACTGCGTCGGTGATTTATCCGTGGCCGGCGCCGCCGCGACGCGCACAGCGGTTTGGTTGCGTCCCCTGACGACGTCGTGGAAGAAGAAGTGAAGGTGCGTTAGCTTCTCCTGGCTGTCGAGACCCAGCGTTGTTGGGGAAATGGTTCGCACAAAACGGTGCGTTTCGGCAGTGGTGGAGAATAAGAAGAAGGTGGTGATGATGAAGGTGACGACGAAAAAGGAGGGAAAGAGTGTTGAGAAGGAATTAGCCATTGTGAGAAAGAAGGATGAAAGTGTTGAAGAGACACGCTATGGCAATTAAGGCGTCTTGTTTATATTGTGATTATCAAGGATTCAAATTGGCAATTATATTTACCAAGTTTATCTTAGTGATTGGAAAAAAGAAATGGTTATCACAACAGAGAAAGAACAAGAAAATGAAAAATAAAGCAGAGTTTTTAAAATGTTTTTAAAAAAAGTAGTGTTCTTCCACCTTTATTTATCTATTTTTTATTGAAAAAGCTTTGCTACCACTTCAAAACATTTGACATAAAAAATATAAAGCTCACTTAAATGGGGTGGCAAGCAAGTAATAAGATCAATAGAATCCAAAGATGTGACTCATCCTAAGACAGCAGCAGAATTATTAAAATGATTGATAAGTAAACACTAAATATAAGGTACAATATTTTGTCAAATAACTTATGACTTAATTGACTGTGACATCACTTTGTACCATTAAGAGTGACAATTAAATAATGTAAATGCATGTTTAAAAAACGTAATAGATTATTTTTAATAATAAGTTTGAATAATGCATTAAATTTATTTTCATTTTCCACTGAAATGTTTGTCTTCTAGCTATAAAATGACATGATTATTTCTGAAATAGAAACAACCAATGAACCAAGGGAATCAAACCAATACCATTATTTAAGGAAGGAATAAACCTACTACCCACACATATGTATATACACATCGGCCCAAGATAAATAATAAAAAAGAACACCATCGAATAGTTGCAAAAGTGGAAAAGAGCAATACAATTATAGAATATTGTAAAGTACTTCCGTTCCCATCAAGAGTACGAGTGCAAGATTAAACAAATACTTTTTATTTATTTTTATTTTAAAATTTTTAAGCTCTTTTATTTATTAAAATAAAAAAATATTTTTTAATTTTTATTAAACCTGAAAAAATAGTTTGGCTTTTACCTATTAAAATTCAAAACTTAAAATTTAAATTTTGAATTCAAATTAAATTTAATGAGTTAAGCTCACAAAAATTTGTAAAAAATTGAGTTTTATCCGTTTTGTACATTATTTTTATAAATTCAAATTATATTCAAATCTTTTAGTTTAATTTATTAAAATTTGCAATCTGCCGACAACTCAAATTGATTATCTTGATTAGGTAATCCATTTTCTAAGTTATAGTTTTTATAGTGATAATCATTTACAGTTTTTATTTAATGTTGGAAGGAAGGAAAGTAGATAAAAAAATGTTTGAATAGACTCTTGAGAGGAAAGGAGACAAAGGAGAGAGGAAATGAGATGTGGTAGGATACATCTAAAGAATAGTTTCTCTTCAACTAGGGGCAAGTAAAGGAGAGATTTTGTTAAATTTAAAATAATTGGTATATAATATAAATATAAAAAATTTAAAATATTTGTATTGATCAAAATATTATAACAAAAAATTTTATTTGTTAGATTAGTTTAAATTTTTTATAATTATTTAAATATATATATATAGATATAATATAATATACTCTTTCCTTATTTTTATTTATTTAAATAAATAGACAAATATTACTATTTTTTTTTATCCAAATAACATGTTTTTTATATATAATTTTCATTTTTTATCTTTGATATTTTTTTTATTTCACTCCTCATTCAAACGTATTAAAATTTAATGAAATAAATATAACTCTTTGTGTGTAGCCTTGTATAATATTTAAAATGAATAACCAATTAGTTCATGTCTTATAATATGCGTATATAACAGTGGTGGTACAATTAAAACTTTCAATTCTATCATTTAATTAATTAAGTTTTTTTCAAAACTTTTGAATATATAACCGCTATAGTTTGTTAATCAATGTTAAAAATAAGCTAGGCAGCTTGACAGAGAGTTACGATCTGGTTTGACCATTTTATTAAACAAATAAGGCTTTATTTTTTTTAATGTCTGTTTTAGTAAATAAATCAGATTTAAGTCAATTATAAAGTCTATTAAAATTAACAGGCCAGCTTGTATATATGTATGTATATATATATATAATATTATTATTATTATTCAAAAATATTAAATATAATTATATTAAAATATTATAAAATTAAATTAAATTTAGCTTTTATATTTAGTTAATTTTTTAATTAAATTTAATATGGTACATTAATAATTTATGATTTTAATTAAGAATTAGTAATAAATATTTTTAACTAAATAATAATTAAATGATAAAATAAAATTTTTATAAAATAATATTTAATAATTATTTTAGTAAATTTAATCAATTCTCATATGTTTTGATATTATTTAATAACTTTTAATAATTATAGATTTAATTTAGATTTAAATATGATATGGTTATTTTAAAAATTTTCATGGTACTATACATGAAAAATTTTAATCAATAAAACTAATTATTATATTTGTTACATTTAAACAAGTTAAACAACGGTGAAGTCTTTGAACAGAATCAAGATGCAATTAAAACTAAACAAACAAAAATTTAAAAATAAAATAATAATATTATATTAATATATTTTTATATTCTTCATTCTATTATTGTTAATATTTAATTATTAGATTAATATGTTTGTATTCTTTTATTTTTAATAAATAAAAATTATATTCTATTTGAAATTTAAATTATTTATACATGATTACATATGTTTAAATAATAATTTTATTTAATAATAAATTATTATATTTGTTACATTTAAAAATAAAATAATAATATTATATTAATATTTTTTTTATATTCTTAATTTTATTAATATTAATATTTATATATTATATTATAATTTTTTTATTTATAATAAATAGAAATTACTTAAATATGAATTATATTTTATTCAAAACTAAAAATTTAAAAAAATGATAAAAAAATAAAATAAGAAATTTAATATAATATATTATATATTTAATAGAAACATGTAGCAAATAATATAATTTTAAATAAATTATATATAATAATATATATTTTTATAACTTGTTATGTGTTTCATTTTTTTTTATAATATAAAAAATTTTATAATATGAAACATTTATAGTTAATATTTAAATAATATTTTAAAAATTATTTATAAGATTATATAAAATTTATTATAATTATTTAATAATTATCAATAAAATAAATAAAAATTAGAAAAATATGTAAACTAACTTGATAATAAAATATTTATATTTTTATTAATATTAAAAGTTTTTTTTTAGCAAACTTTGTTAACAGGCTTCAAGTTAGGTCAGGTCAAACTGAAAATAAAGTCTTTAACAAGTAAGAGACCAGACTTAAACCCAATAATTATGTTACAAGTCAAGCCAAAGTGAAGCCTAACTTGACCTATTTCTATCTCTAATTGTTGGTATTATGTGTACACCTGTAAGAAGATGCAAACATGAGTTGTGTAAGACCATGATATATTGCTAAGAAACTCAATGTTACATGGGGATTTATTTGATTAACTATAAATAGAAACATCAAATTTGTTAATTAATATCTTTTCATCTCAACCATAATCATTAGGCAATAAACAAAGGTAAAATCTATGATACCCTAGATAAGTGAGAGACTTGGTATCTTCTCTTACATATGAAACAATCATGACTTTTAATTTTATATGAATAGATAATGAGTTAGTGATTTAGTTAAAAAAAAGACGTTAATACTCTCTTATCTTTAAAATATTAAAGGAATCACAATCGTTAGAATAAGGAATGTATAGAATATCCTTTCAAATTTACAAATACCACAACAAGCATGATAAACAAATAAAAGTTATTGTATTCATGATATTTTAACTTAATACCATCATGTGACAGGGAGGCAATTGACTCTTATTTTAATTAACTTATAAATATTTCAAAATAAGACTTAAATAATTTTTTTTAAAAAAAATTGATGCGTTGAAAATTAATCGCTAAATTTTATTTATTAAAATTTAGCATCTAACTAAATAAGCAAGTAAAAAAAAAACTACTATAATTAAAAAAAATAGTCAATTAGAGTAAATGAAAGAAAGAAATTTTATAAAGAGCCTAATTGTAATACCCCTATTTTGTTATTTATTAATTTTGTATTTTGAATGAATTGTTAATGCTTGTTACTTGAAATTAGGAGAGTTTTAAGTGTATGAGTTGCAGGATTCTCGCTGTACCAAGAAATGAGCGTCCAAAATCAAGGTATTTGACGCTCTCTCACTGTAACGAAGATGTTCTTACTGTAGCGAGGATGCTTTCGCAATAGCTAGAATGACAGATAGCAAAGTGAAATTTTGTTTGATTTTTTCGCTGTAGGAAGAGAAGGTTTCGTTGTAGCAAGAGATTTTCGCTACAACGAGAATGTCGAGTTGAGAGGTATTTAAGGGTTTCTAAATTGAGAAACTTGGACTATAATCCAAGTTACGACCCTCTCCATTCTCTTTGATTTCTCTCCTCATTTTCTTAAAAAATTCTTAAAAAGCTCCAATCTTTCTTCAATCTAAGCTTAAGAGTTCACTTCTCTTGCTCTTTGGTAAGTTCTTAAAACTTGGTTCTCCATTCCTTTAATTATTTTCTTATTTTTCCTCTACTAAATAGGATCTTTTATGATATTTAGGAAGAACCCAACCTTTTGAGTAAGATCTTTCAAAAACCCTTCACTAAACTTCCATTTCAAGGTAAGGAGAGCTTTATCTTGTTACTAAGAAAGTAGTTTGTTTGTATTCATGGAAATGTTGTCATGAAATGCCTGATTTTGAGTATATGTTGGATAAAAACATGTTTTGTGATGTTGATGATGTGTATGATCCTTATTTGAGCGTATAAGCATGTATGTTGTGGACTAAGTCCGAGGGTGACCAACCCTCGGCAATGATTGATTGATATATGACATAGTAATGAACTTGAGTAAAATAGAGAAATGAAGGGATGAATAATATGATAGTATACAGGTAATGAGTTCAGGTTATCGTAAATAATGAATTTAGGCCATAATGACTAATAAGAAGAATAAATCCATAGTGAGAAATGTAGAAATGAAATGAAAAATATGAAAAGAGAAG